GTGTGTGTGTGTGTGTGTGTGTGTGTGTGTGTGTGTGCTCCAGGCTCCAGAGCTGTTCACGGTGGAGAGAGCCTGGAACGCTTTGGAGATAGCTGGGAAGAAACTGCTGGGACCACTGGGAATGAAAACCCTCGATCCTGAGTAATACATTTAAGCTTCTAACTAAACGCCGCAGCACAACGCGTGTTCAGTAACAGCAGTGAAAGACTTAAATGGCTCTTATTGTGTTGTCTCAGTGACCTGGTTTACTGTGGCGTCTATGATAACGCACTGGACAATGACAACTACAACGTGGCCAGAGGCTTCAACTACCACCAAGGACCGGTGAGTCCCACGTCTGTCACTGCAGATGGTTGAACGCAGTGCTGAACAGAACGCCAACCAGAAGAAATGTTTAAAAGTAAACTTTAATAATGCATCAGATCTCCACTGGTAGAAAAGTCAGAGACATGGACTTTGGGTAGAAAATCATCCACCTACAGGCTGCACTCAGAGGATTCACTGTCAGATTTCGGATACATTACCTATAACGTGTCACACAACCTGTTACACACTTTGTGTTTGTGCGTAGGAATGGCTGTGGCCAGTCGGGTACTTCCTGCGTGCTAAACTCTACTTTGCAAAGAAGCTGGGAGAAGACACGTACACCAAAACGGTTACCTTGGTGAAAAATGTTCTGTCACAACATTACACTCACCTGGAGAGGTAGGCCGCTCTCCCCTGTACCTCTGATGAAACGACTGCCTTTTATTGCTTTTCTTTACTAACCTGTCCCTACCTGTCCACCTCCACCAGGTCTCCATGGAAGGGTCTGCCAGAGCTGACCAATGAGAATGGCCAGCACTGTCCATTCAGCTGTGAGACCCAGGCCTGGTCTCTAGCCACTGTGCTGGAGGTCCTGTATGACCTGTAGACCTGTGCAGAGGGCCACCTGTTGCTCAGTTCATCACCAGCCAATCACAGCATCCACTCAGAAAAGTGGACGAGAGGGTCAGTGTGGATGGAATCACACTGTTTTCTTTTTTTCCAGAGGGGGGGGGTTCTGGTAGCATTTCCAAATAAATACTGCAGTGCTTAAAGTGTTTACTAACCAGCCTTGATTGCATTTGTTTGTAGTTAAGTTTGCAAGCTAAATAAAAGATAAGGTCCCAGCAGAGAGCTGATGTAGCTCATATTTCCTATGTTTCCCATATGACCTGAATGCAGCACATTTTAAAGTCCAGCCAGTCTTTAGACCGTAGCAGCTGCTAAGTGTGGTGAACGTTAACGTGTCTGATCCTGCAGACATCCATACCAAAGACATGACCTTGGTATGGATGAAGAGGTGTTTGGTAGGCATTGACTCACAGGGTTGGTGTTAAAACCATTATGAGCCACTGTGCATTCTGTCCCCATAGCAGTTATTTTAAATAAAAAGAGATGATGTTTTTCTTTGTGGGTCATTGCTGTTCACCAAGGCTCATGTTTGCTACTGAAATCTGCTGTGTGCTTTTATCCTACATCTGTCACAGTATCCTGTCTCCTGACCTGCAGCGAACACCTGCTGCACGACGAGCTGTAGCAGCACTGGTAGCGTGTTAATGTTGGTGTGAGTGTAGGTTAAGTTTAGCTTCTCTATGGAACAGAAAAACCCTCCAGCCTGTACCTTTACACCTGTCATACAGGGAGTGCAGAATTATTAGGCAAGTTGTATTTTTGAGGAATAATGTTATTATTGAACAACAACCATGTTCTCAATGAACCCAAAAAACTCATTAATATCAAAGCTGAATGTTTTTGGAAGTAGTTTTAGTTTGTTTTTAGTTTTAGCTATTTTAGGATATCTGTGTGTGCAGGTGACTATTACTGTGCAGAATTATTAGGCAACTTAACAAAAACCAAATATATACCCATTTCAATGGGTATATATTTGTATATAATATATATAATATTATATATATAATATTTATTTTTACCAGTGAAACCAATATAACATCTCCACATTCACAAATATACATGACATTCAAAAACAAAACAAAAACAAATCAGCGACCAATATAGCCACCTTTCTTTGCAAGGACACTCAAAAGCCTGCCATCCATGGA